TTATTTTTGGATTTTCTAGACTGGTCCAAAACCAACCAGACTAAAACCAAAAACTTCGATAGCCCGAAAGTCCTAATTTTTTTTGGACATATATATAAATCCGAGCCTAGTATTTTTTTTGGCTCGACCGGACCGAACTTTGGAATTTGACCTTAATTGACATGCCTACCAATAACAACTATATCAATTATAAACTCTTTCTTTTTATCAAATGATCGATATTTTCTGATAGATCATATCAAAATAATAAAGGATGCAACATATAAAACACTAAAGATATATTAACGATCCTTATTGAATTAACATTTTAATGAACAAGTTTCTTTAAAGAAAATGACTAAAAAACCTCAACTTCTTAAAAGTGTTTATTTAATATTCATTTTTCGAAAACCTTTTTATGCTTCTTAAAACAAAACACTGTACAAATAAATATCAAACTTTTTTAAAAGTGTTAATTTTAAACCATATGTGTTGGTTTTGTTAAATTGTTAAAATGTTGTTTTTAATACTATGCAATTGATGAATTGAATTAAACTGATTCATTTTATTTAATCGAAATAAACCACAAAAACTTAATTCAATTTGTATCAGTTAACAGAGGATGATTTCTGTTTCGATCATATATTCTATATTTGTATCATGTTTATACAAAAAGTCCACGCAATTCTCTCACCATACTTGTGACTGACATAAATTTTCGTTTTAAATTTGAATTGTCCGAAATGTTTCATAATAACCGGGAAATTATTATAATTAAAGCCCTAACTGGTAACTCTATATTTGAGGAATTATGTGGAAAAGTTGTGGAATACTTTTTTTTTTTTGTTACCAGTTGCACAACAAGAAGATATCTGCCGACTAAAGGAATTGAGAAATATGTGAAATTAAATGAAGAAAATAACATGTGTTAGAAATATAAATTCGCTGAAATAATTGACAAGAAATAAGTTATATTTCGAATATATTAATATTTGATTTTAATAGTATCGAAAGTATGAACTAAATTATATAACAAAATTTTTTGGAAACTAAAAGTAAAACAAATAATAATAAATTTCGTTAATTTAATAAATGTTATTATTACTTGTAAAATTTAATAAAATTATAGACATAAATATTTAATTTTGACAAAACACTTAATTTTAATTAATATTTTCACAAGTTTAAATAATTTATTTATTTGAAAATATTATGCAACATTCCGTAAAATTCAGTTTTACTATTTGAATTTAACATTCTTCCGCCAGATTCTACAAAAATTAATCCACCAATTCAGCAAAATTCTGCAATTCTGCAAAATTTCTTTATTATCATTTATGCTGAAAATGGCACAACACATTTGCCTTCGTTATCACTTTTGCTCGAACTAAAAAATTGGTAGATAGTAAAATGGCACAACAAATTAGGACTCCAATCGAACGTCTTTTCTTCATAATTTGACATATAGACAGAAAAATTGCTATGATTATTTATTTTGGGTTGTGTTTCCCCAAAAGTCGATTTGATAAAGTGATAAAGAGACTATTTAGCCTGAATATAATGATCATGTCTTTTTTTATTTGTTTTTATATGGTTCAAAATTAATTTTAAGTTCTCGTAATTTGATCCGATTAACTGAAATATACCGGTTGGTGCGTGATCAATTTCTTTCCTTTTCGTGAGAGTTTTTTCTCTAAAAGTCAGACAAAACTCAGCGCCGCTTCTTTCGGGTTTGTTGCTTCGGCCGGTGTCCGGAGCTTGTCTCTGGCACCGTGCCTCTTTTGCTTTGGTTTGTAAGTACCTTTTTGTTGTTCTTCCTCTTTGCCCCTAGATTTTGTCGCGTTTGGAGCCAATATTCTCCGCCGAGTGTAGGTTTTGTGGTGGATGGAGAGGTCGAGATCTTGGTTCGTGGCTCTCATAGGTTAGATGGTGGTTTCGGAGGTTTAGTCATCCATCTGATGGGTTGTCAGCATCCGTGCTTTTGTAAAACTTTCAATTTTTATTTTAGAAGAATTAAAAAAAAAAAATTGGATATTAAATACACATTTTTAAAAAGTTCAAAATTTTTAAATCATTTTTTATTTCTTTAATGATATATTTGCAATACCAAGAAAACTTTGTTCTGAAACTAAGACGTATTAGTATTAATGAAAGACATTTTTGCACAACATAACTTAAACGGACTTTTAACACTTTTTGGCAATAAAACGTCAATAATCATATATGTATGAAAAGAGGTGAACCTTCTCCATCCTTCTGCCATATGCACTCTTGAAGCTTACACGTAGCACTTGGAATTATTACATTAAAATAAAAAATATATGAAAATAAAAAAATTACGTTCTAATTTCAAAACTCACACTTTTCCAAAAGAAAAATCAAACGACTTTCTTTGTTTTTGCTTCCATAAGTGCTGATCTCTTCATTTATATCATTCTTTTACCCATTTTCTTTCTTTCTCGTTTCTTTATATATAACATGTATTTTCTATCTCTTTTTAGATCTTGCAGGATCCTTCCAATTCCTCAATGTTCAAGCCATGTTTCCCTCTAGCAAAGACTCTACAATCTCTCTTTTTACGTTACATGTTTTCGCGAACACTAACAGTATCATTAGCTTCAATTATGCACAAAAAAACATCTATGTTTTTCGCATTGTTTTTTTTTTTTTTGAGAAAAAAATATTTTTTTGGTTTTTTGTATTTTTTCCTTTGTGTGCTATTTAATTTGTCCATATGTTATGTAGATAGGGATTCTATAGTGTTATCTCCAATAGTTTGTTTATTCATCAGTAAATATATTTCTTCTTTTTTTTTCAACATATATTTCTTTTTTTATTGGTTTCTATAATTGTTACACAATAATTAGATTATTACGTTAGTTTTTTATATTTGCTGCAACATCCAAATACTAATAAATTAAAATAACTTCTAAGAGAAGTAATATGTGCGTATGCGCACGACCTAGTTATCATGATTTTAATAGATCATCTTCTTTGACTGTTTTTGCCAACCTTATTCGGGAAAACTTAGTCTCGTGAAAATCCACTCTACGCATCGTCGAAAAAACTACTTGACTAGAGTTTTTGTGGCATTATAGTACATTC